AAGTGGTAGGCATGCACAGAATAAAACAAATAAAACTTTCGACATAACAAGTGGCCAGTGAGCGTGAATTATAGTGTTGTTTCCCTAGCAATGCAGTAACATACGTAACATACAAAAAAACGTTAGCCAGACCACACACCTACTCTGAAGGCCACCGGCTTCCCCCCGATCCGACTCTCCTGCTCCCTCCTGTAGACGAGCACCCTCTGCAGCAGCACCTGGGCCAGCTCTTTCTTCCTGGGATGCTGGGTCTCCACCAGAGTGATGGACTCAGCTAGAGACGCCCGCTGTCCCCCGATCAGACCTTCGTACAGTTTATCCAACAGTCTCTGCTCAGGTCCACTCAGGTCCTGTATGTGCTGCCTGAGGGCTGAGCTGCTCACATTCCTCCTGTGCTGCTGGCAGCTGTGACCCGTGATGGTGCTCGTGTAAGAACCAGTAAAGACCCTTCGGTGGAGGCAACATGTCCGACTAGCTGAGGGGAGGGAAGAGATGTGGCGGAGGAGGGAGAAACCAAACCGTCTCATTTTAGGGTATATGTAGGGCATCTAGGAGAAAAAAGATGAAAAACAATGAGTCAGGGGTGACTTTTTGAGTATTATCTTGTTTCCTTCAAACCAGTTTGTAAAATACTTTCAAAAAAAAAACATTCCACTCTTAAAGCTAAATTGGAGGTAGTTGTATCAACCATGGTTTGCTATCTGGTCAAAGGTCCGCCAACAATTTTGTTTTCTTTTTTGACAACACTCGACCTCTAGGATAATCACAACCACATGAAACGTTACAACCACCAACTTAAAACCTTAAAACCCAGGACATTGGGTTTTTCTTAAGGTCTTGGCAGGTTAATGTGGTATTAAGGAGGAGATTTTTACCATTTAATCAATTCTCATGTGGTAAAAAATTAAGAATTTAGGACAAGTTCTGTGTAACAAATGGTGTCAACTTTGTACTCTCCTCCTCCCTCTAAAAAAGCGTAGAGGGTAAAGGGATTCAAAGAAGGGAGTACTTCTCAGGTAGTGATATTTTGCAGCTCATTTATTGCCCTGGCTACCTAGAAATAACATTAGCTATAAAAATAACATTTGCATGACAAAATAATGCTTCAATGATGGCACTGAGGACTACGTATTCTTTTTCATGAATATAGCGCCAATTCATGCTGGAACATGCAATGATACTTGGAAATAGCTCATTAACTTCCAGAAAAACATCAACAAACATGATTTTTTTTTAACGGTTATCCTTCATTGTACGTTGGGCTAACATTATGTAAACACAACGTTTATCTGAGGTGCAAGTATATACTGTGTCACACGTGTAATATAGCTAATAAAACACTTTATACTAATTGTTAGAAGAAAAATAATAACTCTGACCTCGTACCAGCTGCATGGAGGTGTTACGGTTGTTACATTCAACCACTTCCTGTTTCCGGTGACGTAACGCAACGCCCCCGACAAATTGTTCCGTCCAAACATTTATGAAATAAAACTTTCAATAAATAAAGATATTTACCAAATATATGTAAAACTGCCAATTGTCTGTACAAAAATTGAGGATTTGTAAATGTTAGTCGTTTATGAAAAAAATGAAAACTCTTATGAGGACAGTGGACACATGTAAGCAGAAGGTGGCAGCAGAGGTTAAGTTTCACATCCAAACCGATCCAAACTGAACCATGGCTTTATAATACATGCACACTATGACCCGAACCCACAGCTCTTCTGCCGCTGCTCGAGTCCTCACTGACACTAAGAAAGTGGATCACATCACTCCTGTTCTGAAGTCTTTACACTGGTTTCCTGTGTGTCAAAGAATAGATTTCAAAATACTGCTGCTGGTTTGTAAAGCACTGAATGGTTTAGGCCCAAAATACATTTCTGATCTACTGCTAAATTATGAACCATCCAGATCTCTCAGGTCTTCAGGGACTGGTCAGCTTTCTGTCCCCAGAGTCAGAACTAAACATGGTAAAGCAGCGTTCATTTATTATGCTCCAAATATCTGGAACAAACTCCCAGAAACCTGCAGGTCCACTGCAACTCTTACTACTTTTAAATCCAGGCTGAAGACTTATCTTTTTGCCGCTGCTTTTAATTTAAACTGAGCGGTTGTTTTTCGTTTTTGGTTAATCAACATTTGGGGCTAGTAACCCCAGGGAATCAGTGTCTGGGGACTTTGTCCTGGCTGATTTTCTCTGTGTATGCTGCTCGAGACGTATGTGCCATACAAGCGTACACAGCTCATGTTGGGAGAGACCTTAAAGAAAGGCATCAGTAAAATGGAACTTCTGTATGAACTATTCATATCTTAAACTGCACTGTAACTTTTTATTCATGTATTTTTTCTTTTAATGTTTATTTTATTATCTTTTCTTTTTAATGACTGATTTTAAATGCCTTTGTCTGAATGTCTTTCATTTTTGTAAAGCACCTTGAATTGCCTTGTGTTGAAAGGTGCTATATAAATAAACTTGCCTTGCCTTACCTAAAAAGCATAACACTTGACATCATGTTGCAATATTACTCCTAAATTGATAATTGTATCTTATATGTAGACAGCCACATTATATTGTGTTTTCAGTTAGAGTTTGAAGTGAAAGATGGAGAGTTGACAGATGAATCATTAATACATCACAAGGTAGAGAAACACTCATTCTATAATTGTTTCCACCCAATTTGAGCTACAAAACCAGGAAGATTGTCTTCAGTCTGGTAAAGTAAAGACTGACGTGTGAGTCCCAACCATAGACTGTATAAAGGTCCCAACACTCACTCACACTAAGTCATAGACGTTCACAGTCTGCAGTCCACCTGACGTGCCTGTCTGTGGAATTTGGGAGAAACATGCAAACTCTTGGGAGGCAACAGTACTAACCACTGTGCAACCATACCACCCACGTCATGTACAGTCATGTGGAACTCCGGCACACACAGACACACACACATGCTTAAATCAGTGATTTCCAAGGGAGTTTCCTGGAAGATTGTTATAACTGTTCCACTACTGTCACAATGTGTCCTATAAAACAAAACAAAACCCACATGTATTTTCCAGCAAGTTAATAGAAAATGAAATCCCGCTTCACATTAGTGCAGTTGGCTGCACTTGTAATTGTTGCACCTCCCTAATTGGAGGTCTACATTCATGCACACACACACACCCAAAAAGTGGTTGATGTTTTTCAAAGACCCGACAATACCATATTGCATATTTTCCTATCATGGGTGGCCTGTAATTAAACAGACAGGCACACAAACACACACACACACACACACACACACACACACACACACACACACACACACACACACACACACACACACACACACACACACACACACACACACACACACACACACACACACAAATGCCCTGACACTGTGCATATAAAAGAGTCTGAGATACTGCAAGTAATGAAACAAATTTATTGAATCTTCCAGTAGAGGCTTGATATTCATGGAATAAAACTGCTTTTCTGGGAGTTTTACTGAGCAAAAACAGAAAGAAGGAGAAAGAAACTAAAACAAAACAAAGAGGCAATGTGTGAAAGTGCAGACAAACCAAAACAAAAAAAACATGTTCAGAAAAATACAAAAAGAATGTAAAGAGTAATACAGTTTAATAGCTAAGAGGATTGCTCAAAGCATAAAAGAATCGAATGGCAACATCTGCATTTTATAAAAACAAAAATAATTCATATTGGGACATCAGTAACATTTTTTCAGTCAACAATTACAATTTGAATGCTCAACATTTTCCCATAGCAGTCATTTAAAACGTTTTGCTCAGTCAATGTAATAAGAGAACGACGCAGTTGCTGAAATATTTATGTCCTCAATGTCACTCTGTATTTGACACATTTGATTTTGCTGCAGAGTTTACAGCGAAGGACAAACTAAACTGCACTTGCCTCTGCTTCTTGTGGTGTTAAGCTACCAGTCTTAAATGTGTGAAACTACACTAACCAAACTATGCTTTGCAAAACCAGACTGCACAGCACATATTCTAATAGTGAATATATCTAAACACTATTCTTTTTTTCCATAAAACTCATTCAATGCAAGATGAGCAACATTTAAACATTAATCTTTTTTTCATGAATCGTCTGAAATGCCCTTTTAGTGCCATGCCCCACACTAAACCCCTGTCGTAACTATCAAACTCCCCCTAGTTTTCCCTCGTGTTTTTTCATGGTGATATGGGATTCTATTTTTATAAAAACGTTGTACTGCTTTAATTTGTTAACCTAAAAAAAGAACATTTTGAGGAAAACAGCATACTTGTTTAAAGGAGAGGTGTCATGGCCATTTCCACTGATCATAATTCCATTGTTGAGGTCTACTAGAGTAGATTTATACTGTGCATTTTTCCAAACTCACATTGGTTTCGCATACAGCATCTCTGTAAACTACAGTACGTGTATTCACTGAATTTCACTCTCTGCCTTTAACGGCTCGTTGTAGCTCCAATAGCTCCAGCCTCCACCCTCCCTGTGAGCACAGTGTGCTCTGATTGGTCGGGACGTTGTGAATCGCGCTGAGCTCCGTGGAGGTGTTGTTTCCTTGTTTAAGATACATAGCGAAACACAGCCAAACTCATCCTGAGCACACACAAACTCACAGCCGAAGTAAAAACAATAAGTGTGGTGGTGATATTGAGTAAGAAAAAGGTTGATAAACGCTGTGAGAATGGGTCTGCAGAGAGAATTTCGCCGCGATCCCAACTGTCTGTTATCAGCCTGCAGCCAGGGAGGAGAAATCAGCAGAGCTGCTGCCTGCACATAGTGTGTGTGTGTGAGGAAGTCCGTGGATTGGTCAATTTGGACCAATCAGCGGGGGCTTAACGTAACGGCTCCGCGAACGTAACGTAACGGCTCCACGGATTGGTCCATTTCGTTCCGGGTACGGCATTACATCATGCCGTACCCGGAAGAATCAAATGGACAATGACGTATCTCCAACGAGGCGTTTTGGGGAGGTATTTTCTGTGTTAGAGTTTTTCTCGCTACAGGGTGTACTTTGAGGGTTTGTGACTCTGTAGACCGTTTACATGCATAAAAACCTTCATAACACACAAGGGGACGGGTAATAACCGGAAAAGCATGACACCTCTCCTTTAAGTATCTGGAGATGATTAAAAATGTTCAGTCATACTTACAACCTCCAACTCCCTGCTAACATTTTACATGTTGTAAGTACATTTCATGTCAACCTCGTTGCAGTCGGGCAGTAAACATCCGCCAGCTGCAATTTGGTGACCTGGAATGTCCCATTATTATTGTAACTACACATTTATCTTGATTTCAGAGGGAATATTTAGATGAAAACTAGCAATGAGTCAGAATAATAGAACAATGAATAAGAGACATTGTTGGAGCAAGATCAGGGAGGATACTTGCGTCATGATGAGTGTGATGGTCTAATTATTACAGTTGGTCACAAAGATCAAGTATCTTCCAGTTGCATCACGCTCACTTTGCTTACGCCTCTCCCAGACTGTAAATGTGCCCAATTCAGACATCCTTCAAGTAGAGAACAAACCGACCCATTTAACAAAAACGCCCAGCCCCACTGGTCCCAGATCAGCTTGTGTTTCAGTCAAAACCTCCATCAGTTATGGGAAAAGGCAGACTTGCTAAACCACAAGCCAATCTGGGAAGCTATTCTTGCTACTTAGACTAAAATGCTGGGGTATGGACAGCCACGAGGCTGAGGACAGCGAAGCCTAGGAGACGGAGGATATGGGGTTGTGGGGGGAGCCCATCTGGGTTAGCACCTTATCCAACCACTGCAGGGGGCCGTGCAGGTGAATCTCAATCCAGCAGGGTGTGCTGGTCACATCCTGACGGTGGTACTCTGCTCCCCAGCCCTGGAACACATAAAGACAAAACATTTTGAATTATGCCACAGGATATTGTTACATCCTGCTGTACTTGTATACGTCTTGTTTAAGTTTTTATTTTTTTTATTTTCTCCCGGATGGACAGGAAACTGGGAGAGAAAGGGGAGGACATGTTGCAAAGGGCCGTGGTCAGGACTCAGCCTTAGTACATGGAGCATCTGCTCTACAGGTGAGCTACCAGAGAGACCCTACTACTGTGGAGTCTTAATGTTGAGCTCTGCTTGAGTCCATATAAAGATTGAATTTTCTATCAAGATTTCCACTGCTAGATATTTGTAGCAAATTCAGGAAAAGAGTTTTACAGTATCTGAATGTATTCATTTTACAGATTATTTTACTGAGGATAAACGTAGACCTCTAAAAATGGAGAAAACTGTTTTTTAAACAGTTTTAGCCTTATATAATGTCACCAAACATCCAAAAGTTGTTGCTGCCAGAAGATACTGTTAATTGCACTTTGCAGAGAAAGGCGTCAACTTACAACCAGCACATTTGGGGTGCATAAATTAATAGGAAGTACAGCAAGTACATTGTGCATCAAAAATATAATACTAGAAAAAAAGTGTTGGTGATTTTTTGATTCCAAATTAAGTTATATTTGATAGTCAAAAAACATGTTTATATTTTCCCATATTTCTTCTTTTTTTTAGTTGGATCAAATCGTTTTTTTAAATACAGGGAGGTAAAGATTAACATCACCCAGTCAACAAATGTAATATTTTTAATTAAAAAAGCCTACCTTAACGAAGCTCATGCGGATGGTACACATCTTGGTGAGCTCGTAGACGGCCTCGAAGCCGTGGTTGACGGATTGGGCCAGCAGCTCAGCAAACTCCTGGTTGTTGAAGATTTTCAGGCTGCAGCCGCTGGGAATCTTACACACGGTTGTGGGATGGAAGCCGTGGTGATAGTTACAGTTACGACTCTGGACGAAGATACTGCTGTCACTCAGACACTCTGCGTACACCTCCCCTCCGACATAATACAGATGGACACCTGAGAGGAAACAAGGAGAATTAGTGTTGGTCACTTTCATCAGCAAAAAACAAAGGCCCCCAAACATCAGTGTGGCCATTTACAATCAATACACACACACATGTTGACTCAATCTGTTGTTATTGTTCCTATTGATAAAGTGAATTGATTTAGCCTTGGCTGCTGACAGTCATCCGCTAAATGGTTGTGTCCGTACTGCACCTTTGCCGATGTGCCGCCGGGTGTTCTCGATGGTGGAGTTACGGTTGACGTTTGAGAGCAGGCCGAGGCAGAAGCGGTTGCGGTTGTTGGAGGGATCTGTGAAGCCATCTACGAGCACGCTGGTGGAGGACGCCTGGAAGGCCTCTCCGACACGATTGTTGAGCTCGTAGTAAACAATAGAGCACCAGTGCTTGGGCTCCTCGTAGGCCACCGGCTGCACATCTGCGCAGGAAACACATTAACAGGTCACAGGACTGAGCTGAGTACACTGTACACACAGAGATGGACCCAGACACATTATATGCACATTTAAGATTCCTCTGAGCAGACTCCGGATGCCAGGAGCCACTGATGCCAGCTATAAATCTTACTCATCTGCACAATTATTTCATGCAAATTATCCCCCAAAGCCCATAATAATGATTTGAATAAACATATAGGACCCACCGGCTACATTTGAGTACATTTATGCTGACCAAAATCAATGTGGACGCATCCTAAATGCCCACTGTCTGTGTGCCAGCTTTATTGAGCAGAAAAACTGTCAATAGAAGGTGCCTGGCCATGCTCTCTGAGCCAGTGCCAGCTGGCCCCTCCCTATCTGAGAGAGAAGAATAAATCATGTTTATCTAAGCACATACTTCTCCCAAACCTCCCCTGTAGCGTGGCACTGGCTAGCAGGTGTGTTTTGTCTGTCCCTTTCCCGGAGCTGGCCTACAATAGAAACCCTCTCCGCTGTACAGGATGCAGCTTGTGCAAAAGAATAAAAAAACTCCCCAAACTCCCACTTCAGCAAACATTTCAACAGCTCTTTCCCGCTGCTGCTGCTGCTGCTGCTATCTCCATGTGTGGGCAGAATGTTTGGGCCCTGAGTGCATTATCATAAAAAAGCACAAATATTTTGATGGTCAGGTGTGGGAAACTAGAGTTCAGACCAAAGTCCAGCTGCTATTCCAACATGAGGTGAGAATAATTTAACTGCAAACACCTGCATGGTGTGTTAGTGCGGACAAAATGTAACCACGGAAGAAACATTTTGTTTTTTAAAGTTTTGATGTTCGTTTTTTAATTGGCTGTGAAAGAACATTTCGCCCCGAAGTAGGTGTGTCAGGTGTGACAGGAACAAGTACAACAGTCAGACATGTTTTATACAAGCCAATTTATACCAGCCTGCAATAAGTTCATGCTCTAGAAATAATTTGGAGAAGAGAAAATCCTTCTTTGATGGCACTGCTTACAACTCATGAGATATGCCTGTTGTTATAAGGGGACGCAAGTTGACATTGCTTTGTATGAAGGAGTTACAAGCAAAAAAGCCTGGGAGCCACTGATCCAAATAATCTGATATGTGACTAATTATCTACTTTTCCTAATGTTACCTCAGATAACATGAACTATATTATGTATTAGGTAAGAGTTGTACAAGGAAGTCAGTCTGTAAACTGAAAAGTAAGACTACAATGGAATGTGTTCGTCTTCTTATCTGATGTAGGGGTTTATTTTAATCTCAAAGAGCTGTATCGGGCTGATGGAGGATTTTTGTACTGATGGGTATCGGCTTTATTGAGCTCAATCTGACCCTTTGTTTTATCTCAAATTCACAGTCACACAGGTTATCTGTACTTGTGAGACCTTCATGCTCAGCAACACTACAAGTGCAGCTACTGTCAACTCTCCAAGAACAACTACTACTACAGAGGGTTTAAATACAAAATAAAAACGTTAGGAACCGCTTTGAATGACTGACATTGGGGCAAAAAAACGTTATCAGTACAAAACGAATGGAATTACCCTTTCAATCACAAAGCTGTGGAGTCAAAACATGTCCATTATACTGTACAGTCATTACGTATTCATGAATGCCAGGTTCAGATGTGTCTCTAGTACAATAAAACCAAAACCACAGAATGGAGATAGCAGCAATTATCGCACCACATTTCAGATCTGAAGATGGGGGTAATTAGTGATCTTATCGTTAACGAGTTTCAAGTCATTACCACCAGCAGAGAAGACACACTATAAGCTTTTAAAGACCTCATAAAACTGCTCTGAGGCCAGGCTTCATTTGCTGAGGCTTTGAGCTCGCACCCACAGACAGAGGCTCGCTGTAAACTGGCAGATCCTCTCCACACACAGATCTTATCAGACAGGATATGGCCGACCAACTCAGCTGAGGCTTTTGTTTTTTTTAATCTGGAGGTTGACCACAGGAAAAATAAAACAACTTTAAAAACAACAAGACTTCCCAGAAATCCATGCACCTGCAGATCAAGGCGAGCAGGTGCAGACAGCTTTATGTGGAGGATATCAGCGGGAATTCAAGGTTAGATGTGTGCTTGTTTGATATAATGTAGTAATTGCTATGGTTACCTGGCCGGTTGTTACTCTCTATGGGCAATGTTGGAGCCAGGAGGGTGGTGTCCATCGGCTGGGGGATATCCTGCGTCATCTGCTCCTCTGGGGGCATGTAGGCAGGAGGAGGGGTGTCTGCATCAGGAAGGCGGAAAACACAAAGAGCAGGGAAGTGAGTTGTTGTTGTTCAGTACGGAGGAAAACAAATTCAAGTTGAAGACATTCTCACTGTGGATCTCACCTGGCATCTGGAAGGGACTGCCGGGGTCCGTGCTGGATGGCGAATGAGGGAAGGTGGCGCTGCTGCTGCTGCCGCTTCCTGGCGAGCTCGGGTAGCTGTTTACCGGCGAGGTGGGAAAAGTGGCGGGCATTGGGTTGACCTGAGTAAAGGATTCTGGGAAGGTGGCATTCTGCGGCATGTGCGGCTCATTCTGTTGTAGAGGGTTGCGGAAGCGAGGCAGCATTGTATGCTTGGCGTTGAACTCGCTGTTCCTCGGTACCAACACAGGGGGCAGCACTGAGGAAGACATAACAACGGTTAAAACAGGAAGTGCTTTGATGCATCGGCAGTTCTTCTACCAGTGACCATTCTTTTTTGAAGCTTACAGAGAAGTCCACTGAGTCCATAGGGCACATTTACTATAACCCTAACCCTAACCCTTTAGTTTATCCACCTTAATTATTTTAGTTGATTCATAGATTAACACTATAAAAATAACCCAAGATTACCATAAAATCCATAAAAAATAACTTTGTAGTGTAAGTCTGTATGTATAGTTTGACCTTAGGCTTGCGTCTCAGACATGTGAAATCTATTCACACAAACTGAAAAAGAAAGTTATTTAACTCCAACATAATAATGAAATATTGTTCTGGCACTCTCTTTATGTCTACATTCTTGTTGCAGATGTCCCTGCATTTTTCGAAATGTCAGCTTCCAGCCTTTTGGTGTTTGCCAGCAGTATTTGGACCAGACTCTCAGGTTTCTGCTCTGAAAAGACATTTTGAGTCTAGCCATTCTTGAGTAATTCATCACTTGGCGAAACTATCCTGGCTGATGTGAGGGCTATTCAGGTGCAGTACATACAATCCACAGAGATATGCTCCACTTGTGTCTATAAATACCTGTGCAGATAAATAAAGCTGGTGCTGAAATATTAGACGGGCCCACGCTGCTGTCAGTAATTCTGCAGGTAGCCCATGTGTGCTGCAGCGCGCCAATGCATCAATGTAGCAGTTTATATCAAAGGTTATATGTGAAGCAGGTGTTTGGTGGAATAGTGAAGGGAGATTGACAGGATGTGTGTGTAGACGGGTGTTGTTAGGGGAGAGAGGGGGGGGGGGAGGGTGTGGACAGACAGGTGCTGTGGGGTTTAATCACCTTAGCCCTCCGTCCTACACCCGCTGCTAAAACAAAAAGTGTGCAACTCTTTCCTGCAATTGTGTGTGAGTGAGAGGCTTCCTGTTCCAGCTATCCTCAGAGAAACTGTGTGTAGTCATGTGTGTGTGTGTTCACGTGTGTATCCTGTTTTTTGTAACCCGCGAGCAAGAGTGTGTGTGTGTGTGTGTGTGTGTGTGTGTGTGTGTGTGTGTGTGTGTGAGTGTGTGTCTCTCCATGTGTGCATAACTATTACAAAAAGGCGAACAGCACAGAGCCCAAAACAAAGCCCTCATTCTCCCCCAGATGGAAATTCCTGCTGCACACACACATGAACGAACACACACACTTGGCCCCTAACACACTTAGCACCCTGCACACAGCTGTTTCTATCTTGTCAGCTGACCCTTATTAGTTTACTAAGAGGCCAAATACTGTTTGATTTGTCTTGGTTCTACACTACCTTTGCAGTGAAGGCCCCAAGTATCTGGACTGTTTCTAAAAATCCTTCCCAACATAGGTAGTTAAATAAAGCCTTTTTAGGTATTTTATTATTTTAACCCATTTGATAGTTTTTAAATCTCTTAATCTTTGATTTGTTATGATCTCTTAATGAGGCGAAAATTCTGCAGTCAGTCTTACAGTCTGGTAAATCAAAGGAGGGTGGTGTGTTCTCTTGTCATTTTGACCAGATAAAAAACCTTTTTGAAAAAATGATAAGAGAGGCAGTAAGAACATAGATCTGCATAAGTAATTTCAAGAAAATGAAAGCAGACGAAGTTCTAGGTAGGAGTAATCATTTACAAATTTAGAAAACTGCTAAAGAAGTTCCTGAAATTCTATTAAATAAAATGTTTTGCCCTCTTTTTAGGAAACGTAAAAATGGGGATGTTGTGATCACAGTCAATGGGGTGCGGTAACCACTAGGCCAGATTTCTTAACAACAATTTAGAAATAATTTCTATCAAGTTTATTTTTATTCTCTGGGTCTATCCTCAATATTTTTTTCTACCAATCCACTAAATTAAAATCTGAGTCATTCTCATTCCACCTTATAAAAGGATTGCGGTGACTGAATTAATATAACTAATTGTTGTTTTATAATACAGCTGACAATGTGTATCAGCCCCAACAATACTTATTCACTTAATAAGGTCAGTATTGGTCCTGATAGTCGCAGTGCATCCATAAAAAAATAATTTCCGGTCCTTATCACTCACCTGGACTGTCCACTCGTTTGTAGTGGTAGGGGTTGATACACACATCCTTCTGTTTGGCGCCGAAGGGGAACTCGCAGCACTCCAGGGCCTTCAGCTCGTGGTGGGACTGCAGGTCGGGCCAGCGCCACACCCGACAGTAAATGACGTGCGGCAGACCTTTCCTGTGGGACACCTGCAGCCGCCCGTCCAGAGAGCGGGGGATGGTCACACAGTTACTGACCTGACCCGGGCAGCTGAGAGCCCTCTCCAGCTCCTCCATGGCTCCCTTCTTCTTTTTCAGTTTCTTAACCAGAGCATCCACGGCCTTTTCCGCCCATTTCTCTTCCTCGTCTCCCTGCTTCCAACCCAGCAGCCGTTTGACCGCCGGGCTGGTGAAGGAGAAGAGCGAGGTGACGTTCATGATGGACGAGCCGTCCTCCTCCCCTCTCCTTTCTGCCCAAAAAAAATGTGAGCAGCGGTTGGGGAAAGTCCAGTATTAGAGGATGAAAATATCGTCCTTTTGGAGTTTCAGGTAATCCTCAGATTCCAAGATGTAGGATCAGATCCTCTTGATAGTCACTTACTGTAAGAAAAGGAGAGTTTGGTTAGCATTTATGAGTAAAATGTCCTTTCTTTCAGAGATTTCAAACACATGTCTGCAGATCAGTCCTGCTAACTGTGTCCTTTCTCTTACAAAGTTGTAGCAACCTGGTGAATATAAACCTCTCCCCATTTTGCCCCCTGAGCAGCACTGACGGCTCACCAGAAGACTGCCTGGACAACACTTCATAAGGAGATCATGTCACCATTATAGCCGTAATGGCCCAGTCCATCATGGCTTCTGGGAAACTGGCAGAGGAGTCATGACGGACAGCCTCCCGTGAACGTCCGCCCCAATCAGGCATTCTCCGGATAGCTTCCTGTGCGTATGGCTTGTCACATTACCACCGCTCTCTAATGTAATTTACTGTAAATGACTTCATATGTAGCATACACAACCTGTAGGAATTTAGCCCGCAGGTTTAACCCCTAAGTCACTTTGCAGACATGTACACTGTTAAATGTAGGTTCAATCTGCCACGCGGTTTTTCTTCAACATGTATTTTATACAGTAACTATACAGTATGGCAGCCGAATAATTTGTTTAGCATTGATTTACTATTTCAGCTTCAGCATCAGCGGCAAGTAATGGTAATAATGCTGATAATGAATTATTCAATTTTCCTTTTAGAGTACAAATCATATTTAGTCAATCATCTTAAAGGAGTTATCAGTGTGAGGCAACGTCGGATACTCAGTTAAAATATTACCCACACATTTCAAAAGCCCTAGTTGCTGTCTTTAATTTGGTTATTTATGCGATATTTGTATCCATACTTTCAGAGGTAAACTTCCAATGAGTCGCCTGCTGAGAAAAATGTCCTACAAAGCTTGAACGCCACCAACCCACAAACACTGGGCAGGAATCTGGCAATGTGCAGGACAATAAAAAGGAAGTGCACGTGGACCCCAGGATAAATGTGCCCATTCACCCGGGTCCCACAGGAGCAATTTTGTAGCCAGGACATAACGCGCATTCAAGCTTTTAAATGGGAAAACAGAAGCTCTCCCAGTTCTTTTCAAGTACTCTTTCTAAATACAATTAGGGAAGATAGAAACATAGTTATGGTTGAGGTTTGGCTTTGCACAAATGCTCAGATGCACTCCTAGAATCAAATAAAGAGCTTGTCAGAAATCCTCCACCTTTTATCCGCACTGACTCACGGGTGGGGATGCATCACTCCCTGACAGTAAAGCCTGCAGTATATTGGATTTCCTACACGCAGGAACAAATACATCATTAAGACTGCCCTGTAGTTATTCTTGGCCCTTCAGATTATGGGATGAATAGCGATTTCTATCTTTGTCAGCTACTGCATGTGTAGGCTACATCATGCCGACCAACGGGGAGGGTAGTTTGATGAGAACAGGTGCTGTTTACAACGTGGGTGTGTTTGTGTGTAGTGTGTGTTGTGCTCTTACTATTGCCAACCCCACTGACGGGAAAGCAGCAAGTTGTACCTATACTTAGCTTAGCTTTAGAATCACACTGGCTAATCATAAGTTACGCTACTACTTACATACAAGGGAGAGGAAACTGGAGTGTGTGCGTTTGTGTGTGTGTGAGATCAAGGGACAACATTATCTCCACACTGAAATTATTTTCACTATGATATCATGAATTGCTAGCATCCAAAAAGAACAACTCTCCACCATCATAGAGACAGGAAACAGGCTGTATCATTCTGTTTTATATCTGTCATCGCTCACACTGCAGTGACATCACTTCCTCTTGCTGAGAGCAGCAGGTTTTTCCACAGGTGCAGGGTGGGAGAGAAAAAGGCAGTTTCCCAAACTCACCACCCCTGACTTTTGATCTTCCTTTCTCGCTCTCTCTCACCAGTTTCCTGATTGTTACAACTGGAGGAGGATGGGTCAGAAATGTTATGGGTGTTGCCTCTGTTCCCGCCTGTTTGGTCATTAAAATAGCTCTATTGCAGAAATATTACTACGAACTTAAAAAAAACCTCAAACAATTCTTGTTGTCAGGGCACGTAATCCATTGTAATATTTTTGTATTTCATGACCAATTAACGACTATTTAGATGCCTTACTTTAAAGAACAGAAACAGGTTTTTCTACAAGTTAAAAGTTGTCGTTGACGTTTTAAAACCCTGATATTTGAAACATCAAATATTAACATCTTATCTTGAAAACTTAAATTATCAAACAAGGTTGATTGTCCTGTCAACTGAATATTTGTTCAAAATGTTTGTAAGTATTATATTCACCCAGACACATTACTGAAGGTGCTAATAAAGTTTTGGGGTTAAATACCCAAGAACATCTCAAATGTCAGGACTATGGTCTCTGCTCTCCCCTTGTTCCGCGTTTATTATTTTATGTATAATATCATTAAATATTTTCAAAATGTTCAAAAGCTGATAGTACTTTGTGACCTAGTCTGACGCAGAACTGACTCAACACATCCTCACGCAAAGCAAAAAACAGACTTGAACTCTGAGTGTTGAGCACAACAATACATCACAAAGTTCAGAAGAGAATAAATGCAACATCATCTCTGTACCACGGTCACCATCCAGACACACAGTGAGTCTTTTTGATCCACTTCCAGCCGCAGAGCTTTGATGGCCTCTCAGTAACATCCAGCACTATCGGCACAAGTTCAGCACTAGTTGCGGGAAGACGACTTTTAATCAATTTCAGATGCAAGACGTTTCAAGCATCTGGAGCAGGCTTTCCTGTTGTCATTCTGCTGCAGCTGGAGACGATATCTCTTAGATATTTCCAACCCTGACAGAGAGAAATATCTGAATGCTGGCCTGACCACATGCTTATTTGAAGGGTCTGATATGGCTTTGTGTTGGTTCTTTGGACAATGCTAGTTTAGAGTTGCCAGTGAGTCAGTCAAAAATATAAAGGCGCCTCCCTGTTCCTACTATACTTATGTATAGACTAGGATGTTTGCATGACATAAACAGGCTTTTTATTAAACAACTTTCAGAACTACTCTATTAAAAATTGTACATAGAATTTAGGTAGGTCGTTATGCCCCTGGTCTGCACATTTAGATTACAGTACATCTGAATACAATAAAATCTGCCTGGATCCAATCCAAATGCAAATTAAAAGTCAGAGGCCTAATTTTGTCAGCTTGAATCGTTTTCAATAACAAGTTGCAGCCTCAGCTGATCATAATTTGCTTATTATCATACTAAATTGCTATTTAGTTTGGCATCCTGATTGTGTTCATGTTGTTTGATATTGGTTTGCATTCCAGTTCAAAGAACAAGGCTGATATGAAAGTAGTTATTTCTTTAAAATGACTAAAAACAACATGTACCGTTGCATTGATCTTTTGATTCTTGTTGCCATTTCTGACACAGTTTTTCATTCATGTAGTTTTTCCCCTGAGAGATTAAACTAAATCCCACCAACAAATATCTGATTGGTTTGGTTGTTCTCCACCTAAAAACATTGGACCTGTTTGAACCCCTTAAAAAATCTTTGATATGGTGAGCGGTTTAAATTGCTTCTAACAATTATCTCATAATCTGCAACTAAATATAATTTGTTATAGTCTTTTTTTTTTCCAGTTTAATGATTTGCCCAAGGTTGCAAAAATCAATTGCTTGTTTTTGTCTGCCCAAAGCACACATGTATTAAATTAACAATTAAACAGAAAAAAAGAGGAAGTTTCAGAGTGATAGAAAACTAACATCATTAACGGCGAGGCATTTTTTTACTTGTATTACTTACATTAAACAACTGTATGTAGTCATCAACCTTTGAGGCTAATCACCATGTCTTACTGAGTCAATGAAGAGTCCCACAGATGCCTGCAGTGGCCTTGGCTGCTGCTCTCCTCCCTATAAAAGCTGAAACACACACACACCACATTTACACAACAGCTCCATAAAAACCACTCTGACATTCCCTGCAGCTAAGTCCAGGCAATGCTCTCTCTATTGTGTTAGCGGTAGCTCGTTATGGCCCTGTTAGCCCAGCGGACAGAGATCCAGGGCTAATGGGAGCACAGAGTGGGATCATGCGACACTGTCAGTCGGGGGCTTTGACCCACCTGGTGCGAGCTGTTCGCCACTACACCAGCACCATGGATCATTTTGCACTGCTTCAGTGTCTGTTAATCAATTTAGGCCTGGGCTGTGTAGGATGAGGAGGCAGTAATGATGCTCTCCGGACCCTCCCCAGGGACGGAGCATTATAAAGAAGCTACATTATTTATCAGCAGGGTCCTGGATGGGGCCTCCATTAGCCCCCGCTCAATGGAGTCACTGGCTATAAACAGAGGAGTGCAGGAAGAGAGAGTGGAAGATAAAGGGAGAGAGAGGAAAAGGAGGGGGAATGATTCAGAAAGAGAAAGAGTGGAAGAAAGTGAGAGTGACGGCAGAGCCAGAGACATAAGACAGAGTGATTGTTTTCTAGAGGGAGAGAGACGAAGACCCTCGTGTATCTGGTCTCTTAACCCAGCACTTCTCCATTAAGTGTATTCAAGGGTCATTACTGAGTTAAGAGATGCAATATATGCTTTTACACAAATACAAATCATAGCCATGCCGCAATGACGTCTGAAAGCATCTCCAGAGGTGCAGCTGTTGCAAAGTTCAATATCACTTGATGCCAAACATTGAAAAAATCTGTTTTAGATATTTGTAAATGTAAAATATTTGGGGTTTGGACTGTTATTCAGACCTAATGTGAAGACATTGTTGAGTACATTTCTCATCAGAGAAGTTATTGGCAGATTCATTGATAGTGAATATAGTTGCTAGTTGCATCCCAATGAAAGCAAATTTACAAAACTATGTTATTCTTTCTTGTTATAAGATCCCTCACATTGTTTGAGTTGTGGACCAGAATATGAATTGGACATTTTACGGTTGAAAAATACATTTTATGCAAATCTGTTCAAGCTCTTTAGCAGACAAACTTTCAATGTCCCAGGTCATTTTGAGTTTCTATACTGACATGTCTTGCTATTTATTGGTCAATGTAAGGTACAAATGTACAGTATTTGGGACTAAATAATATTGGCTGATCATTCATCTCATCCTGACCACAACTATTACTATTTACATTGGTTTGAAAAAGCATAGAGACTAAATAGCCTGACGTAGTAGATACTAATTTACCACAGCCCCATGTCTTTTAAAAACTGTTGCAGAGAAAGCTTGAAATAACCATGGGAGGTGTTGCCTTTAGTGACTAGACATGGCATTGACCTGGGGGCTCTTTAAACTCACTGGGGTCACTTCTCCTCACAAACACCAACACATACACACCTCTGACCTGACCTAAAGATTACACTAGAACAAGTGACAGAAGTCTAGCAAACACTTCTACTGTAGTAAAACTAAAAAAAAAAAAACTTCTGACACCAAAACTGTGGTCAGTATTGTTCTGTCTGATGTGGGATGAGACTTTTTATGTCCCAGACGAACCAGTCCGTCCCACACACGACTGCAGACATAACTAGCAAACACATGGGGTTTCAAGCAGCTATCTCAACCATGCATGGCACTCAGTGTTGGGTTAGTGTTGTGTTAGGGTGGACACCTCACCCCGACACATGGCAGGCTATGCTGTCCGGCCGTGCAGACACTCAAGAGGGTTTAACTTCGTTCACTCACTACTGTTGTGACTGACTCTCTGGATACAGGAATGCTGCTAACCTATATTTACACCTTGTTGTTGAGTAGGTTTTTTTTGCCTTTGCTATGGATAGATAGATAGATATAGATAGATAGATAGATAGACGGGTATATTGAGGTAGATATGATGGTATGATTTGTATGTATAAAGAAGAATATTAAGCAGATAGAATCATGTGACAATCACATCTCTCAATGACCTTTTATTAAAGAAGACTAACCATGTCATCTTAATCCTATAAAAACACCATTTGTTTGATTTTCAAACCAAATTCAAAGCTGCATACCCTGAGAATGCAGGAATGATAAAACAATTGGAAGTAAATCACGGACAAGGACAAATTCCTGTCCTTTGGGTAATCTGATATGTCATCTTCAATAATGTCAGGAGATCTAGCCTTAGCTGCTGTAGGTCTCTCTCTCTCTCTCTCCCCCTCCTTTCCCCCTTTCCTTTGCACATACACACTTACACAGATTCATAACTATATTGACATACCTAAAACCAGACACATGTCCTGTGCTGCACACCAGTGCATAAAATCAAATTGCCTCAGCAAGTCTGCAGCAGCCAAAAGAGAGTTAAATGATAAACACTATTTTTAAATAGCAAGATGCAAAAGGGTATCATGAGTGATTTGTGTACAAAGAAATGCAATATAGGCCAATTGCATTCTTCCTTTTTCATTAATATATCATCAGTAAACAAGTGTCGCAAAGTGAACACAGATCATTCACATATTGTAGTTTAAAAAGCCAAAAATCCTTATACCACCATATAGTATAGAAATAAAGGAAATTATTTAATAATTGAAGTAATTTGTCAAGAAGATAATGCTATATAGTCCACTTCTTGCTCCTATACATGTGTGGCTTTGCCTTCATATCATTGGAATTGGTAATCTTTCAAATGTTCTGACATTTCATAGACCATGCAATTCATTATATGGCACATCCTGTAGGTTAATAAACCAAATAGGCCCATGCCATGTGTCTAATAACTGCAGTTTTATCTGTATTTACTCATGGATAATCACTGTGTACAACAGTGTACAACAGTGTGCATGTACATTAACTGGTGATTCTACTAATACCTGCTTTAGAGTAGTTTAACCCCAACGTATAGTGCTTTTAGTGTACAAATGCAGCACTTCAGCAATGTTCCTATTTAAACTTACTAATTTTCTGCACTATACAGTAGTCTAGGCTACATTATTGCAAGATTACTATAGTTCTTAATCAAACTTTGATCATTTTATCACGTAGCCAAAACAAGTAGTTTACATAATCATGAAAATGTGGCTACATTTGCAGCTCCAGACTGAAAGTGAGGTTTAAAAATGTGAAGGAAAAAAAAAGTTTGAAGCTGCCAAGTGACACACTGTTGAGTTGATAAGCGTTGGGGTCTACTTCCTTACAAACAGAGCCATGCACACAACAACACGTGGAAATACACATAAAGAAACTTTTCATTTAGCACGTTGAAAAATAAATCAGAAAGTGTACAGTACCTTTTCTTTCTCTGGTCTCTCACTCCCTGTTCTCCTCTCTCTGCCTGTCTTGGGTCTGCCCGACCTGGCGTCAGTCAGTCGCGGAGCCGCTTCACCCTCCGCTGAGCGCCAGTATCACGCCGCGGGGATGCAGCCCCGACAATAACAAGACCTACTTTTCACACATCCAACATCTTCATTCACTGTGTGGAAAGTGATTATGTAACTGTGAGAAACAATGCTCTTTTCTCGCCTAAAACTAAGAGCTTCACAGCACCAGAGAGCTTCTTTTCAGATGAGAGAGTTTGTTTGTTGCAAGTTGTGCTAAAATGTTGCGTGTTTGTTGCAGAGAAGGAAGAAAGAGCATCTCTTTACTTCAGAGGCTGCCAGAACATCCATGCAAAATGTGGGAAAGTTGTTTCATTTAGCTCTTTTCTGCATGTATTATAGCAGTTTGGACATTTGATGATTTTTTTCTGAACTTCCCCTACACAAAATACAACAACAATAATCTTAAAATGGGGATTTATGGGACAAAACTACTATATGTTCAAAACACAAGTTATACTGCAACTTCAGACATTGTTTGAACCACGAAGAAGCACTAATTCATTCCTTTTCTCTCTTTTTACTACATAAAACCGCTCTCCTTCTTCAAACTTGGCCAGTAATCTGTTGCAGCAGTTTAACTGATAGGCAGGCAACTCTGTGGTTTATCTGTAGTGAACTTCTGAACTGCACGGTGTTAAACCTGCCTCCCAGTTCCCCTCTTGCTTTGATTGTGATATGATAAGCTCTATTTAAGTTGTCAGGAGAACAAAAGTGTCCATGAGCAGGGTAAGCACAGGAGCATGTTTACACATGCCATAATCTCAATTTCTCACCTCAAAAGAGTAATACACACATACAACCAGTCCAGCCCTGATGTAGGTTTTTCTACTGGTGGGTGTGTAGAGGGATTATTGTGCAATGTCAAGGGTGAAACTCCCAACAGTTCTTCAAACCATCTCATTAATATTTCATGATAATGCATGAAAATAGCCTTTAGCCAGGGCAGCAGCAGCAGAGGACATGAAGTGTCATTTCCTCAGAAAAGAGCCAAAACAATTTATATGTGCATCAGAAATAATATGGGTCATATTTAAGAATAAATCAGAATATCATTTGAACAGGTAATATTTTTGTTGACAAAGTTGAAGGGGTTATAGATAAAAATAGAATACTATAGAAAGAAGACAGGTAAAATGCCTGAGATCTAAAATATCAAAAAAACTGACACATATTTCACGTTACTACAGATAGGCTACTTGAGTATTTGTACAGGAATAGTACAGTGTTACTTAGCCCGGTTATATTTAAGTGCTTATACATGTATGGTCAAATAATATAAATATTATATGACAAGACAATTATACAAAATAAGTGTTTAAGTGTTTTTTGTTGCGAGTTTTATTAAACAAGTTCAGGGTTGCAGCGGTGAGGAGGGACTAGATTATCTTGAAGACAGGCGGAGGGAAACGTTCAGAGCGGAGGAGGCTCCTGGCGTAGGTGACGTCACGGCGCTGGCGACAGAATGTCTGAGTGAGGCGGGAGCGAGCTGCACGTGAATAAATCTGGGAAACAGCGCGAGGAGGGGGAGGTAGGGAGTGGACGCCGATGATGATTATGAGTAGGAATAGAGAGAAGGCTACACAAACTTTTTTTTAGAATAACGATTCTCTCGAATACTCACAACAGTCAACTGCATATTTACTACACCCCAGTGGTGGAGGAAATACTCAGATGCTTCACTTAAATCATGCACTCAAAACCTCTCTAAAGTTAAAGAATGTAGTGTTATAATCAACATGTTCTTACAGAAGGTCTGCTAAACGTAAAAGTATTCATCGTGCATCATTAATTGTCTGCAAGGGTCATTACTGGGTAGCACTACAACGATGCAATATGTACTTTTCCGTACATACAAATCACATGCAATTCAGCAATGAAGTTTGAAAGCATAACCAAAGTAGCCGCTGTTGCTAAATTCAATTTCATTTGTGGCCAAATGAAAAAAACCTGAGTTTATAAGCTAGAGCTCTGTTTTATATCACATCATTATGTTTGAATTATTGTTACCGCTGCAGAAGTGTGTTTAAAGTTGTGCTAATTGTAACTCCTTTATACTTCCTCAAGTGAAAATAGCCACTACATTAATGTGAGAATACAGTTACCATTTTTTATTTTGCTGATTATTCAACATGCATAACATATAATCACATAGTAAAATATTTTGCATTGTCGAATACTAAACGACTCAATAAAATACATGGTGAATTAAATGTATCTTCATCTACAACATTTAGTAAACCAAAATGTAAAAACACACAGTTAAATCAATCTTGTAATGTATTATAATACCTCAAACTATGTATATAATAGAACGTTATAACAAGGGTTACTAGCAGAGAAGAGAATTACACATTTAATGTATAAATATTACTACCATGGTTTCATACATATTCTGAACAGACAAAGATATAGGGCTGTTATTTACTATTCCTCGACTTGGTAAGAACTGAATGTAGAGGCAATTAGATGACAGTCCCTATTGTTGAACCATCACACAGCAGGACTCCAGCCACTGATGAAGGGTCAGCTCCCTCTCATCCCTCTAAAAGTTGTAGTACACGTCACTTAAAGCCAACTTTAGGTAACCTGATGCTGAAAGAGACACAGAAAGCATCCTGCGAATCTAAAGCCATGACAAGACATGCGGACATTTAATGACTCTCAGACTGAAATATTTCTTCATCACAACCACTTGTTCTGGACCGAAAACACAAAACAAAAAAACGTGTATATTTTAATTATTAACACGGTTAAATGCATCCCCATGGTGGATATTAAGCATTTAACTACAATATACAAGTTACCTCAGTTCATTTAACTTTACATTTAAAGCTCTTGGTGTGTTTGTGAAAAGCCTGTATGAAGATGAACTTGACCAAAACGTATAATGCAACAAAGTATACATTTGTATTGGTCAGGAACAAATACAAATGTTAGTACGGCAAGAGTTTAAACCACACATCCAGTCCATTGGGGTTAAAGTCTAACCAGCCATGATCGGATCATAATGAAGTTAACATTGCTATCTATATGGTTTTAACAACAGATTTGTGGAACACTATTCAGCTTTACATGTCGCATCAGTTGCCTTTTAATCATTGTCCTGATGCAAAACTGTTGCATATGAGGCATCCATTGATGGCAAATGCTTTTAATTCAGACAGGGAAAACTCCATACACACAAAAAGAGACTACTTTAAGAGAGAAAAGAAGAGAAACCTCAGGAATAGTCACAGCAGCATCCCTTTGGCTGTATTACATTCAGAGATGAGAGTTGAAAAACGTCATTTCTTTTTACATTTTGGCTTCGTTACACATACTGTTCCCAAAGCTGAGGAAAAAAGTGTCATCCTGTCACATCAATATTTATTTGGCAGTTAGTTCTGTTGTACTGTCTGTTTCAGAATCACAAGCATGCATGAGGCATGGAAGGACACATATCTATATCTAAAAGAACTCCAGGTCCTGAAATAGTAAAATTCTTCAATCTGTTTCCTCAACCCAAAACAGGACAACAGGACAACAACTATGAAGGTCAAGATGTTGCATGCAAAACGTGTCAACAGGACATTAACATTTAAAACACTTAGTAGTAGGCTCTATTAGGGCAAGGTTCATGAAGAAGCGGGAACCATTTAGAAACTTTGGAGCACTGCCTGTCTCCAGCCGGACGGAGGAAGAGCGGACTCACTGGTTAGGATTGATTACAACATTAACTCCATAGACTTCCATGAATCAGCACAGGGTAGAAATGCTTAATGATGACTGACACAAGTGTTAAGATGACACTCCTTCACACATGCAATTCATTTTGCCATCCGAGGGCTCTTGGCAGGCCCATCGAATTTTCTTCGCAGCAGCAATGTGAGGCATGGCAGCAGAGCATCAGGCGAGCTCACATTTCAAACGGGTGGCTCATTTGGCAAGTCCTTCTAGAAATAATGTCTGGGGTGGTAAAATTTGAATGCTGTCTCCAGGGGCTCTCAGTTTTCCTTTTCTACCTTCATTGCACAGAGACAGAGGATGCACCAATCAGAGGGGGGTAATACCCTCAAGTCCAACTAGCTTGCCACTCTGGTCTCGGTATGTCCATTTACATGCCGCAAGTTCATTGATATGATGCATGCATGATAGGCAGACATCTTATCTTACACAATTCAACTCAAACACACGTGATTGATTGGTCTCGCAAATATTTTAAAGGTTTGATCACCGGTCCTCTCACTACACAATGCTGTAATTCCAATCTAAACCCACTGTGTAAAATGAGACTCCCTTGAGGACTGTGACTGCAACCCCCCACCCTCACACATGCACACACATACAATTCAGTTCACCCCGACAAGAGAGATTCCCCGGGCTCAGTACGGAGGGTGGTCTGCTTCTGGTTTATTGAGAAGAAGTCTTTGAGTCTTGGGGAGGGGAAGAGTCTGACAGCAGCTGTCACAGTCACTTGTTAGGCGGGACAGTTAACCCGAGATAAAACAGCTGTCAGTCAAAGCAGTCGCGGCACATTTCGCTCAAGGGGGTGGTGACACGATGAACTTCAACCAACTGCCGACGCTGTTGGACACATGGCAGTTCACCTGTATGTTGGACAGCTGTCCCTCACTGTACAGGTGCGCTGTCAGAAGCATTTCTTCACCAAGGAAGGGTCTTTTGGTCCTGATAAGATTTACTACATTTGATGGTATTACCAGTGTTTGTGTGGGTTTTCATTCATTTTACAAAGACACAAGTGAAGGGAATTTTGAGACTCTAAATAGCCGAGGGGTACACAGTTTTACACCTGAACAGAATTGGCATCAGGTTCAGGGGGTTTCTGTTTGATTAATGAATTTGTGCCTGAAATGGTATACCTTTGAAGATCCTTCTGACATCAGCTGCTGAGCAAAGGCTTGCTGAGACCTGCAAGACAAATCACTTTTTTGTCCTTTTCACTTCATGGGCCTGAAAAAAACGAATGAAACAGACATAAATGATCATGCATCAAC